TGCAAATAGGGAAGGGTGGAGGGGGTGAAGCGAGGGCAAGGGAAGGGGAAAAAAAATAAGAACCAAGAGACTCATGTAATGGTACAAGATCCCAATGATGAATCTAACTGTATTGTGTACCTAAAATGTACCAATAAACTTAATGGGAAGAAAAAAACATATAAATCAGAGCTGAGTGTAGTGGTATGGTCCTGAAACCCAAGCACACTGGGAGGCTGAGGCAGGAGGATTATAAGTTCTGGGCAGTTTAGCAAGATCTCATCTAAAAATAAATAAACAAACAAACAAACAGGCTGGGGATGTAGCTCAGTGCAAAAGCCGAGTTCAATTCCCAGTACAGGAGTGGGGAGAGACGACACGACGACACGACCACATGCACACTGGCTGGAAACCAGAAACCAGAGAAACTTGCAAACAGCAAGCCTCTAAACAATCCTCCTTTAGATTCAAAAGTCTGGGATGACTTGGTAACCTTTGATCTGCGATAAGATCTTCCCAACTCTTGTTCAGAACTGGCCACTTTTTAAGATTAACGAACTACCCTGATGCCCATCTGCCTGAGACTGTTGTAACATCCCCAGGAAGGATGCTATACAAACATTCTCTTGGCAGCGCCACACAAGGTGGACAGAAGCACGAACTGTCCATTCTCCAACATGCCAACTTGTTGCTAATAACACTTCTCTTCTCCATCATCCCGTCTCTCCAGTTACTGGTTCTCTCGGGTGGCAGGAGAACTGGACCTTTCTTGGCTACATTAACTGTCACTTCCTTGGGGACCCTTTCCCTGACTCCCATACTCAGGTCAGGGTCCAAGGTCTATGTACACTATTCTCTCCTAAAAAAACAGCTTAGATGTGATTTCTATGCCTTCAATTTTTATATTCACATCTCTCTCCCACTTGACTGTAATTCCATGAGGGTAGAGACCATGGTTTTTGCTTTTTCACCACTGCATCTTTGGCTTAACAAGTACCTTGAAGTACTGTAGGTGGTAGCTAAATACACATTGAACTGATCGCATGCAAGCTCAAAATCGTAAGAAACTTGTAATTCTAGCCAGCTGAAATATATAGCTCTAAAACTGCCAAAGGAAAGAGTCAAAGACTGCTAGCTGGTTAGGGAAGGGACAGTTTCCTGGAACAGAGAGCACAGCCTGCTATGTAGAAGGGAGAAGAAGGAGTAAGACCAACATCCATCCATCCGATAGCTTTACTGCGGCTCTGCCCTGGATCCTATGGGTTTTCAATGGAAGCCAACAACAAGAAATGCAATTCTCCCACCCCTTTTTCTTTAAAATTTACTAAAAAACCAAGAATAGCTCCTCATCTATTTTCAATCAGCAAGATGTGCCTGAATTCTTCTACCTAAGAAACGTGATATTCCAACTTAACAGAGGTACAGTGGGACTTACGGGTCAGAGCCATAATATAGGCAGCTGTCCACATCCTTAATGTTTTCTTCCTAGAAAGAGCATTCAGCAAATGTATCAGGAAAAGATAAAGAAAATCTCCCAACTTACGGGGACACAAAATCCTTCTGCATGAGGAAAGCTGAAATTCCACACAGGTACCACAAGATATTATGCATGCTCCAATCGAGCAAAATGTCCATTACCACAAACATGGAGTGCTTCCAGAAAGTATCATAGCGGGGTTTCCCATCTCCTGTATGGCTCAGGCTCCAAGGTCTATGAGTTAAAGCTGTTATTACATTCTGATCTGTTTGTCTCATCTGAAAAGAAATTTTGGAAAATAAAATAATCACCATGCCTTAAGTCTAAAACTTTTCATTAGTTTAGATTTAGCCAGTGTGCTCACTATGATGAAGAGGTCACGGTAACCCAGCCCGTGTCTACTGGTGAGTCCTTTATCATAAACTCTTTGAGAAAAGATGTAATGGACATAAAGTGTTTAATATGCAGTACACATGAGTCTACTTTTTTCATTATTCTAGAAGAACCGCAATCCCTTTAAAATAAGAAAATTATGGGGCCGGGGGTTTAGCTCAGTGGTTTCGCTGCCTGCTGCGCAAGCGCAAGGACCCGAGTTCGATCCCTGGTACCAAAAAAAGAAAGAAAATTACACGCAGATGTGGTGGCGCATGGCTGTAGTCCCAGGACTCAGGAGGACTGCCATGAGTTCAAGGTCAGTCTGAACTACATAGCAAGACCCTGTCTCAAAAAAAAACACAACCTCAGAATTGGTCAAATTATAATGTCACAAGAATAAGCTTTTAATTGGATACTGATTTAAATTCTGGCCAGAGGTAATTGGAATTGAACCCTGATTGTTTCAAACACACTGGAGAGCTCTGATCCTTTCCAGGGCAAAGGCTGAAGACCGGGGGCTGGAGAGAAAGCACAGGGAAGTGAAAAGGAAATGAGAGAAGAGGGCAGATGGGAAGAGAGCAGAGTGGGAATGCAGAGTCTGAGCTCTCCCACTCCTCTGGAAAATGTCTCATCCATTTTAAAGGCCTGGTGGTCAATTAGGTTTGGGTGTCTGGAAGCCCTGTGGCCCTATTCATCCCAATGACAGCTTGTACTGGGATAGGCTCTAGTCTTACTGCAACACTTTAGATGTATGCTCTCCTGGTCACTGGGGAAGAATGCCACAGAACCAACTCATTATTTTAGAAGCTGGCAAATAAAGAGAAAAACCAGGCATTTATCCAGCCTCTTGGGTAACTAAATAGAGGAGAAGTCCTTATAGATGGATTCTAGCTAATACAATAAGAAGAAATAACAGAATTAAAATATCATCATTTTGGAACATTCTAAACTGACCGATCTGGCCACTGAGCATCAATAACAGCTAACAACAGAGTCAACCAAATGTTATGTGCCTCCTGATGACAAACACCCCCACTATGACATTATCTTGCCAAGAAAAACCAATCCTAATCTCCTCAAGCCCCTACCTTTCACCACCAATTTATAGGAAATAAAGAGGGTAAGAATGTAAAAAATTACATCATGGTATTCTTAGCAAATCCAGATATGGATAAATGCTACAAAACCAATCATCTAGTTTCTCCAATAAATACATCACAAAGGAGAGGGGGAGTGGAGGGGAGGGAGAGAACTTGGAGATTTTAAAATTTAGAACTTAGAATTTAGAAATTTACACTCCTTACCTAAGTCCTGTTCAAACAAACAATTAAAAAATTAAAAAACCATAACATTTCTCTTTTTTTGAGGCAGGGTCTTGCTCTGCAATTCAGGCTGGCCTTGCACTCACTATGTAGCCCAAGCTAGCCTCCAACTTGAGGTGATGCTCCCGCCTCAGCCTCCTGAGTGCTGGGATTACAGACTTGTGCCACCATGCCCAGTTAGTATCTTACCATGACATTTCTGAGACAGTGAAAATTTACACAATGACTGATATTTAATGATATTAAGGGCTTACTGTTTGGATGGGACAATGGCATTGTTACTGTATTTTTAAAAAGCACATACTTGTTTCTTGGTACCAGGGATCAAACTCAGAACCTTGTGCTTGTGAGGCAGGCGCGATGCCACTGAGCTAAATCCCTGGCCCTAAAGCACGTACTTTTTAAAGATACTTAATGCAATTTTTATGCATGAATAATAAAATCTGCTTAAAATAGCCTTGGGGAAGATCAATAGCGGTATATATTAAACAAATTGGATTATGGTTAAAGGGGAGTTTCATCGTATTACTTATTTCTTTTGTAGATGCACTCTCGCTACGTAGCCCAGGCAGGCCACTGGCCTCAGCATCATTAGTGCTGGGACCAGTCATACGACACTACTCCTGGCTTATATATATTTTAAATACTCCACAATTAAGAGGGGTTTTTTTCCTAAGGAATGCTTTGAGAAGAAGGGCTACATAATTCTTTTCTGTTCTGAGAATGTTTATTACCTAAGTAACCTAAATGGGTCTATAAACAACATGAGGGGCTAAAGAGAAAACACACCTTTTCTTTTTTTTTTTCCTCTCGGGGACTGAACTTGGCCTTGTGCATACTAAGCGAATACTCTACCACTAAGTGACAGCTCCGGCCTCATCATGGCATTTATGAATGGGGTACAAGAATATTCCCCCTTGGGATTTCTCTTGTTAATTTAATTTTTTTAATTTTTATTTTATTTTTTTGGTACCGGGGATCGAACGCTTGTGAGGCAGGTGGCAGAACCACTGAGCTAAATCCCCAGGACTCTTGTTAATTAATTTTAACAGATGTTCTTCACTTCGATCTTGACTCAGTTCAGTTTAAGAGGCATGTACCTTTGGCTTACATAGCTTGTTGCTATTGTCTCCCTTAACTAACCTAATACTGTGTACAAGAAAATCTTGAATTTTACCTTATAGATAACTTCTGGTAAGAATGAACAGACCATACTATTATTGTACAGTTGTGGAAATTCCATATATATCTTCTTCAGAGTGTCAGCTGCCTGTAAAACAAATTCATATTATTTAAAATCTACTAAAATGTGATAGTCCTAGCCAGTAACTATTGTATGTTAAACACAACCATACTGAACAAGTCAGAAGTTTACTAATACTGCCTATGGAGATGCTGCAAGTATGGGCAAATCCACTGTCCACATCAGCAATGGGAGTAGCCAGGCTGTGGCTGCTTCACCGCTTTGCTGAGAGGCTCACCCCTGTGCCATGCTTTTGGCAGGGTATAGGCCAGAGGAGGCAGGAGGCAAAATTTTAAAATCCTTTCCTTATATTCTGATTTAGCCATGAGGAAGTCTTTTCATGCCCACAACTGATCATCCTCTGCCTTTCCTAGATGAACTCTGAGCCACCCTGCCTGGGAATGGCTGAGGGAAGCTCTGCTCAGCGCAGGGGAGAGGCAACGGGACAGGGTGCTGGGGAGAGCGTGAAGTCTTCCAACATTACGTAGCCCCTAGTGAATTAATATCAACAGTAGCTGACACAAGAGATGACCGGACATTGTGTGCATCAGAACTCTTAAGTTCTGTTCATTTTTGGCGGGTGACATACACCTACAATCAAATATAAGCAACAACATGCATTTCCCCCAAAATAAGAAAGAGCATACAAATTAATCATATCACACTTCCCCTTTATTAATATAACTGAAAGATGTATAGGGTCAAAGTTGTCTTCTAGATGTTTGAATTAACACATGTACTTCGTGTAACACCCCTACTTATATGGTAGTTTCTTTCATTAGTCTCATTTTGTCCATGAGAAGACTGAAGCATGTCAAAGTTGAGATTATTTTGTAGCAAATGCAGAGCTCTGTTAAAGTCTGTTGGACTCCAAAGGTCATGATTTTAGCTACTGGGCTCTACTAGCTCTAATTTCTTGCCTACCCCTGCCCCTCTGCATTAATATCTTAGATTGCTATGTTCTGACTAATCTTGGCTAAACACCAGGTGAGCGCCCATTCAGAAAACTCAAATAACTTAAAATTTTTCCTCTTATACTCCCCACACCCCAATTCTACAGTAAGAGAATAAGCATGGAGATCAGTACATTGGGTAAAATGTAGGGGCTACAGGGGTTCCCAAACATGGTCATCATCATCAGCAAAGCTAGAGGCTCATTAAAAGCACATGTTTCTTGAGTCCAGCTCAGCAGCACAGTGAGTAAGTATGTATGGCCCACGAACCCTTATTTTAAAATATGTGCTTCCAGGCAATTCTGATGCAATCAACTGGAAAACCTAGACATATAAAGTATCAGTTTACCAGAATTAAGTTAGTTACCATTCTCCTCTTTCTTCAAATGTGGGAGTTTACTCTAATAAAATCAGAGTATGTATTTATGCTTATATTTTAGGTTTTAATAATTGGTTTAAACTAGTTCCTGGGCTTAATAAAAAATTAACATAGCCAGAACTCTCCACCTGTAAATGACTACTACTTATTATAAATATTGCTAAAGGAAAAACACTCAGGTTGCCCAAATGGAGGAAAAGTTATTTGTACTTAAAAAAAAAGTTATAAGAGAACAAATGTAATTAGAACCATATTTTCTCATTGATTTACATTATAACAAGTTTCTATGAGTAAAAGTCTACATTCTCTAAGCAAAATTTTATTCAGGAATATCATACATATTTGAAAATAACGTGGTAATTTTTTGGTAAAAAATACTACTACTTGGGGCCGGGGATTTAGCTTGGTGGTTTCGCCGCCTGCTGTGCAAGCGCAAGGACCCGAGTCCGATCCCCGATACCAAAAAATAAACAAATAAATACTACTACTCAAATCACTGAATAACAAAACTGTACCTAACAAACAAATCATACAGAGGGACACATCTACTTGAAAGATATATATATATATATATATATGCTGTTAGCTACTAGAAGCCTTAAATACAAAATTCCCTTTAAATGCATTGGACTTAACTCTTCAGCCAGAACTGGTCTTATGAGCAACCCCCAAATTCCTGTTTTGGAGGTTACTCTATTCTAGAAGTGGCTTTTTTTTTTTGGTACCGGGGATCGAACTCGGGTCCTTGCGCTTGCACAGCAGGCGGCAGAAACCGCTGAGCTAAATCCCCGGCCCTAGAAGTGGCTTTTTACTGTTCACTTAATAATCTTTTGTAAATGCTTTATGTAAATAAAAGAAACTTGACCCCTTCATTTTGTGCTGGTTGTGAAATATCAGGAGTTGTTAAAATGTTCCACAAAAGAATAAAATAGTTTCATAATTTACTGTTTCCTTCAAGATGTGGATTCGTACGTTGTATACTTCTACTAAGCAAATCTAGTCTGTAAAAATAAAAAATAAATAACATTTTGGAAATGATTAACAATTAAATAAGATGTCCTATAGCAAAGGAAAGTCCACAGAATAAACTGTACCATATTTGCATGGCCTTTGACATCAAAAAAGATGGTGAGGTTATAGTTTAGGCACTCTGCAACGGCTTCCCTTAGGGTGGGGATCTTCTCATCAGGGAAGTCATTCCTACAAAAGAGTGAGAAGGAATGGTACATTACAGGAAACACAGCAAAGTTCAGTGGGATGGACATTTTGCAAATGCCTCCCAAACAAGTGGGAAGAGTGTTTTTCTCCAATTTCCTTTCTTCAACTTTACCAAGTCCAGTGATAATTTACTATAGGTTCTTGCACCACATTACATTATGTTCTTGAGCAACGAACAACAGCAACAACAAAAAATCATTTAAGAAATCACTGAATTGATAACATAATTAGTAACTCCACTTCCCAAGAGGCAGAGTATATGCGACCTTTGGAAAACTCAGAAACTTAATTTTAAGTTAATTTCCCCAGTAGAACTCTAAACAGGAGAAATTCTTTAAAATATATAAATTCATTAACTGTATTTTTGTGCATTTAAGTGGAACTTCTTGATATGAATAATTTTCTAATACAGAAAATGAAGGTTAAGCACCTAACATAAGAAATCAACTATTTTCTCATAATGAAATTTCACCCTGTATGATTTAACTTGTGGCTCATTCAACTGTATTATTTCTTCTCTAGGATTTTGGTATAAAAAAAGGGTAAGAATAATTTAAGTGTTACAGGCATTTTGCCAGCCATTCTAGTCCATGTCCATTCTCTGGGAAAAAGATGGAGACCTGAGTTTGTTGTTCCTTTGGGCAGTCTTAGTTTGTGCTCCCCTCACAGGCTGAACAAGCATCTCACTACAGAAGAAAAGACGGCCTAGTCCAACTGTGGAGCAAAGACTGTTAAAAACAGTAATATGAGGGCCGGGGATTTAGTTCAGTGGTTTCGCTGCCTGCTGTGCAAGCGCAAGGACCCAAGTTCGATCCCCGGTACCAAAAAAACCAAAGCAAAAACAAAAACCAGTAATATGATACATCAATTCCAACATGGTAGTGCCTTCTTATCCAGTATGGTGTCTTCTTGAAGGATTTTTTTTTGGTACTGGGGATCAAACTCAGGACCTTGCACTTTTGAGGCAGGCGGTGGAACCACTGAGCTAAATCCCTGCCCTGATACGTGGCTTCTTTAAGCACTCGAATAAGTCACTCAACTCTTCTGGGATTATCTCTAAGAGTAGGATTAATCTAGATCTATAGGTTATCACCTATGACTAGTTGAGTTTAAATTTACATTTAAATTAAGAATTCAGTTCCTCAATGGTACTAGCCAGATAGTTAACAACTAGGTGTCAACAGCCACATTTGGCTAGCCTAATGGACAGTGCAAAAACAGACCCCTTCCATCATCCAGCTATTGGACAGTGCTGTTCTAGATGATTTCTAGAATACTTCCTACTCCTTAGATTCTATGATTCCTCAGAGGTTTGTTATAAAAATCTGAAGGTTAGTTAAAAGGTGGTATTACTCTGTAAGAGTTTAAGGAACGTATCATGTGTTTCTTGGTACACCTAAAGGCAAGAAGACTGACAAGCAATTTCTTTCAGCCTTATGATTGATTCTATAATTTAAATGACAGTACAGAATAACCATTATGTTAATGACTAGACAGAGTACTATCTTCAGAATAATCCTGAGACCAAATCTGGCCTCAGTGGGAAAGATTAAAAATATACATACAGTATTTCTGTTGTTCCTGGCACCAGTTTATTACTTGGAAACCTGTATACAGTTCAAAACAAAGCAACTCTCCTGGAGCAAAAGCTGTAATTAGAAGGTGCCAGTGTCGATCTGGGATCTCCAAGAAAGGCTAAAAGGTATGTTTAAGTGACAATAAATTACTTACCTGAGTCTGTGATTTGCTGCAGGATTAAGTTTCCTAATTTGTGCAAATGTCAAATCACACAATCGACCAGTCCCATCTGTCGTCCTGTCTACTGTGCTGTCGTGCATTAAGACAGGAACTCCGTCGGAAGTAAACTCGATGTCCAGCTCCACGCCTGTTGCTCCATTCTTAGCTGCCTTAACAAAAACAGCAACAACATTAATGCCAAATGGCCACAGACATCATTCTGCATCTAAACGTCAAGAAGACCAATAGAGCTGGATAAACTGACAGCTACTCTTACTGACTCCCCTTCCAAATGGTAGCCCTGACCTGGGTGTGGATATTAACCTTGCCTCGACTTCTACACTGACAGTGTCTTTAAACACTCAATTTCCCTACTCTTCCCAACTGCACATTAATGGCAGGGGTGGTCTTTGTAAGTCTTCTCTGGATGCTTTAAACTACATAGTTCATCAATGGCTTAAGATGCTTAACAAATTCCACTATTGGCCTACGTTCTGTTGGTATAGTAACTCTGAAGATTCCCCTGTGTTTGTCCATAAGTCAGATATTTCACTACTTTCGTATAAACAAGAGGAATCAGGTTTTTGTTGGTTTAAGTCTATTCTCTATAAAAGAAACACCAAGCCTGTTTCGAGAGGAGACCACAGTTTGTTTACATTAACGTCACTGGCTGTTGGCCAGAAAACTGGTAAGCTCGATAGGCTACATTAAAATTTATCCAAGAAGAGAGTTTAGGGTTGGGTGTGTAGCTCAATGATAAAGCACCTGGCTAGCACGCTCGAGGTCTAGGTCTGGTGCCTACCAGAGAAAAATGAATGAATGAATGAATGAATAAGAGAACATCAAATCTGAGATGCTAATGTTTGCTTTCTTCATGCTGATCACCATGAAGATGTGAAACACTCATTGTAATCAAGATTTTTAATTTTAAAAAATTTTAAAGTCATGGTCTACTGCAACCATACATAGTACAGTTGAAAAGACAACAGAAGTTGATACAGCCAAATTTCTCCTTTTCATTCCTTTCCAGAAGTAATGCCCTTAAGCCAGATGTGGTGGTGCATACCTATAATCTCAGCAGTCTGGAAGGCTGAGGCAGGAGGATCACGAGTTTGAGCCCATTCTTTCCAGAAGTAAAAGCCATCTTAAAGGTGGTGTGACTCATTACCATGTCATTCCTTTATAGGTCTTTACATATTTATTTACTGCATACTTAAGTACCCACAAACAACATACAGCACTGTGCTGGTACACAGTGAGCATTCGATAATTTTAGCCATTGCCATTCACTGTATCCTTTTAAACTCATTTCTAAAAGTAATGTAGTCAAATACAGTCATGTCCTTTATGGGTAGATATTTTTCCTTATTTAAATATTTTTCTATTACCATGTTATAAAAATATACAACTATATTTTCTTCTAAGCTTTGAAGTTTGATTTTCACCTATGTGACCAAGATATTTTCACACAAAAATAATCCCAATTCTATCGCTAACTAGCTAGTCACCTAGGCTGAGTTACATATCTACTGTAGCCACCATTTCATTAAGATAATGGCTTCATTTCTCAGGTCTATTCAAGAGGACATGACAGCGCACACTGGAGATGGACATGTGTATTATACTGATCTGAAGATGTGAAAACATTGCTTTTCTAGGTTAGTAGATGTGATTTGTAATGAAAATGTATGTAATAACTGTTATATAGTACTTTATAGCATTATAATATAATATTAAAGTTGTATCAGTCTCTAGTAAAAAAAAGATAATACTTCTAGGAGTTGTGAGGATTTAGAAACAATGTACTCAAGTTATCAAGTTGGGTGCCTGGCTCTGAGCTGGCTTTCACCTAAGCTATCATGATTAGAAAAATTAAGTCTAATGAAAACGCCATTATAATAATGTTTATATCTATCCTGGTTAAAAGGGTTTAACGAAGTTAAAAGGCATATCTTTTCTAAGTTAAAGCCAGAATGATGTACAGGTAAATCTACATGGGTTATATACTTTATAAGATAAAACCAAGTCACATTTTTAGTACATCTCCCTCACTACACCACAAATGTTATTCTCATTCCTTGATGTTGGCACTATAATTAGGTTCAGTTATACTTTTATTCATACCCACATACACACAAAATGGTGAGACGTAGTATTTTAACAAAAATACTAAAACTGATAACGAGTTCACTTATTTGCTTTTTCTGAGTAGTTTATTAAAGTCAAAACCAAAAACTCAAACAAAAGCTCTATAAAAGAAACACCACTGTCGAGTCTCTGGAGACCAAATCTTCTAAGGACTACATTGGACTTACTGGGTTATACAGACAAAAGATGAACACTCTTAACCCTAATTCACATACTAGCATTTTTTTAACCTCATTTATTTAGGGAAATTTATCATTATGTTTTTCTTCTATACATACAAATTGCCAATAAACAAGTTTACACTGCAATTTTATTAAATTTTAATAAAAATAAAGTGTTCAGTGTTATAATGTAACAGTAGAAGGTGTATCAAGGTATAGGAATAGAAATCGGGCCGACGGCTACCTGATGCACTGGTGAGGTGGTGCTGACTTCAAAGTGGGCACAAACGAATATTTAGGGAAATGGATGGAGGCAGTAGTTACCCAGGTATTTTAGGAAACCTTGCCAAATTATGCACATAAAACGTGTATCTTTTAGTGTATGTAAACAGCACTTTGATAAAGCCGATTTAAACACCATGTTTATTTCAACAAATTCATTATATTTAAATGGCTCTGTATTTAAATGTGCACACACTTGTAATCCCAGCACTTGGAAAGCTGAGGCAGGAGGATCACCACAAGTTCAAGGCCAGCCTGAACCACAGAGCAAGACCCTGTCTCAAAAAAAAAAGAAAAAAGCTTTTGAATGTTTCACTGAAAAAGTCTCTCTGTATGTCTCTCTCTCTCCCTCTCTCCTTCTCTCTCTCTCCCTGTCTACTAAGTATCATGCACTTTTCTAAGCAGTGAGATAGTGGTAAGAGAGAAAGGACCATGGTTCTTACATTTTAGTGGGGAGAAACACATTACATGCAATTGTGATAGTGAAAAATATTTGAAGAAGAGAATAGAGGGTAATGTGAAGGGAAAGATAGGTGGGAGTCACTAGACAAGGCAGCCAGGGAAGGGCTCTTTGATAAAAGAGAACCATAAAAAGACCTGGGGGAGGAAGTTTCTAAGCAGAAGAAATAGCAACTACTGCAACACTAAGGCACCAAGGTAGGAGGGAGCCATTGGATTGGCAGAAAATGTTGATTGCTTAACCAAATCTATTTCCCTTCTCTTCTGGCAGACACTTGTTCTTGTCCCCATGTTCAGCTTGCTCCTAAGCTCAGAGTAAGTGGACTACTCCAAATCTGTGTGTGTGTGTGTGTGTGTGTGTCTGTGTAATCAGAGAAGGCTTCTGAGAAAGACACAAGAAGGTGTCGGTGGAGCCCTTCCTTGAGCTTGGACACTGGTGTGTGACAATGTGATGATGCCCAGGGCTGCACTGGACACCTGGCAGCTACAATGAGGGCTGGCACATACGCTGCAGGTGACTGAGCAGACAGACACAGATCAACACAGCCTGGGTCCTCCACCATCACAACCGCACAGCTGCGTGAACCATCCCAAAGGTCATTTTTCCCCACGTACCCAGAGTCACTCAGTTCCCTTACTGAGATATTTGAGGATGGATCTTCTATTACATGACGCCGAAAGCATCCTGATGAAACACCCAGGGGGTGGAACAGAGAAAGCAGGGGCTTTGAGAAAGACACATGATAGCAAAAAGTTTGGATTTTATCGAATTGCAACAGGAAACCACCAGGAGGTTTTAATAAAAACAGGATATAATCTGATCTACACTTTCAAAGCTATACTTTGGCCCCTGTATGGAGAACTGGACAGATATATATAATTTCATTCCCTTGCCACTATTTATGATAGTGTAAGAGTTTCTCTGGAATACATTCACTTCACATTATTTTTTTCCCTTTTATGTCTAGTTAATAACCTACCAGAAATTCTACCATTGTCAGAACAACTTTTCTGAGTTTTTACACAGTAAAATGTTTAATATTGGGCCGAGGATTTAGCTCAGTGCTTCCGGCACCTGCCTCGAAAGTGCAAGGACCCGAGTTCAATCCCTGGTACCAAAAAAAGAAAGAATATAAATTATAAGTTGGAAATGTGTAATGGGATGAAGAACAGGACTGAACAAAAACAACTCTGATGGAAATAAACTTTCTTTTGAAATCAAGGCAGAGGACATAGCCTTCTTTTCTGTAGTCTGTATTTGGTAGCTAAATACAGTTAGGGCTAAAAAGTTCATTAACAATAACCTCATATTCTAATAAGCTGAATTACCACATCTCATTTCCTCTTAAGACCAGGAACCAGTTTGGCACAATCTTTATTATCGTTATTATGTTATGTAAAGACATGTGCAACATAAATATCCAAAACATGACTTGCATTTAGCCATAGTTTCTTTGCAATACAACAGGATGTTTGCAATACACAGTGAAGCACTGTGTATGTATTTCATATATATGCTTCCTCATTCATTTAATATGATTTAGTCAGGCATGCTTTGGTCAAACCACCACATCCATCAGTAAGGACTTACAAATGCACTGTGTGGCCAACTAACCGAGTGCTGGGATTACAGGGGCACCACCATGCCTGGCTACCTTGAGATATTTTGTAAGTTGACTTACATAAGGGTAAGTTGAAATGGAAAACAATGACAGCAATGTGCTCTGCTCCTATAGTAATAATCATCTTTCTTTTCATGGCAGTTCTACCTCTTGTATTTCTTATATTACTTTATCCAAGCTTTTTGAGTTTATGTATGTACATTCCTCGGTATTTTCAGGTTTGTTTTCAAACAGGAGGCTAGAAAAGCTGCTCTCACCTTCTCCCATCACAAAGAAAGAACCAAGAGGTCAAAGTGTAAGTGTGCTGGTTAATTTTAATTGTCAATTTGGCTGGACTGCGAAAAGCTTAGGGACTTTGGAAAGCACATTTCTGGGTGTGTCTGTCAGGGTGTTTCCGGAGATGACTGGTGCCTGGGACAGCAGACTGAGTGGGTGGGGGGACCTGCTCCGAAGGATGGCAGCACCACACAGCAGGGTGGAGGGTGACGGAACAAAAGCAGAGGAAGGCAGAAGCCCACTAGCACAGGCTCCTGTTCTTTCTCTGCATGCTGGCTGCCATGAGGTGAGCAGCTTTCCTCCACCATGCCATTCTGCCATGTTTCTGCTTCATCATGGGCCTAAAAGCAATGGAGCCAGATGACCATGGACTGAAACAGATAGGAGATGAGGGTGTAGCGAAGCTGGCTGAGGGAGTAAGTGTGGCCTGTTAATTACAAAATCCCAGAACACATATGCAGAACAGTTTCCAGAGCCCTGCACATGGACTTCTTGTGAGAACTCGAGCAGGTTTTTCACAGGATGCCCTCAATCTAGTGTCAGTCTGAGGAGTGGGTGATAGAAAAAAACAGCTGCCACTGAGTTTTTGTCACTGCGTTCTCCCTTGCATGGGTGGCACACCTCAGCTGTAGGCTGTACTTCTTTTCTTTCTTTTACTTGGCCCAAACTCACTCTGCTGAGTCTGTTTCTTTTCCTACCTTTAATAAAACTTGGCCACTGTTCATCCTTGCCTTGACCAATTCTTTGCTCAGAACAGAAAGTACTACCAGGAGACTTCAGCACTCCAAAATCCAGTAACGAAACCTCTGAAACTGTGAGCCAAAATATACCTTTCCTCCATACAGTTGTTATCAAAAGACGGAAAGCTAAGAGAAATTTAACATGGCTATACATAAAAACTCAGATGCCTTTTACTAACTCAAATGTTGCTCTCCTTGTCTCCCTTTTTCCAGACTTCAATTTTTTACATTTACTCTGAAGAATCAAGGCATCTTTGAGTTCCTGGAAGAAAGAGTTTATGTTTGTGGAGGTCTTACTAGGCCAGCTCATTGTGAAGTAGGATAAGAGAAATAAAAGAGGTAAAAAGGAGACAAGGAAAATCAGTTTTAAAATTGTACTTTTTTTTTTTTTTTTGGTTCTGGGGATTCAACTTGGGACCTTGTGCTTATGCGGCAGGCACCAGAACCACTGAGCTAAATTGCCCGCCCTAAAATTGTACTTTTAAGAAGACTGTACCTTCAGGACACAAAGTTACCAGGTTATCCTATCTGTGTTCCATTAGCTTGTTTATGCTTTTAGGCTTGCTTGTTTTTTCTTCCAGGCCCATCACAAAAATCCCTTAAAGATACTACAGTATCAGGGCATAAATTAGTTTAGTGGATAAGGTATAGAGTAGAAACTTAACCTTAGAAAAGAGAGAGATTCAAAGTGTACAAAGAGTGTTTTTTAGGGAAAAAAAAAAGAGCATCCATCTTTACAAACTGGGCCTGTGACTTTCACCTGAAAATTGAGCCTTTCTATGGATTCACAAATTCCAGACTTGTAGCCACCAAAACATAAATATTGCCAGCTCAATGTGTCTTTCTCTTTCTTTCTTTTTCTTTTTTTTTTTTTTTGAGACAAGGTCTTGCTATGTAGTTCAAGCTGGCCTTGAACTCACTATGCAGCCCAGGCTGGCCTCAAACTCACAGGGATCCTCCCATACACTTTCTCTCTTTTCTTTCTCTATTTATTTTTCTTGTGTGGTTCTGTGAATGCAGGACCCTCACAAAGCTACATCCCCCATCCATTTTTATTTTGAGACAGAGTCTCACGAAATGACTAAGTTGCCCAGGCTGGGCTTGAACTTGGAATCTTCCTGCCTCAGCCTCCAAGTGCTGGGATTACAGGCTGTGCACCACTACATTCAGCTCCACACAGTTTAAAAAATTTTAACCTATGACAAACAGTGCTGGAACTTGAAAATGAAAGGCTGAATTCTAGAATCAGTTTTATTTGAATCGGTTTTTGCGTATTTGTAATCTTTGCACTTTCGAGGCAGGTGCCGGAACCACTGAGCTAAATTACAGGCTGTGCACCACCACATCCAGCTCCACATAGTTTAAAAAAGCATTCCTTATAATACTTAATACAAATGTAAATGCTTCATCAACAGTTGCTATACTGTAATAGTCACCTCAGATGTAATTTGGTTTTGGATATTTTTGAGCCACAGGTAGTTGAATCCATGAATGCAAAACCCACAGAAAGCAGAGCCAAAATGCTTAATTAACTGAAAAACTATAATGAAGCCAGGAGACTACCAAGACCTGGGTGATATCAGTAACTTCAGGAATGTCTTGTGGCAAAATTATCGGGAGTCCAGCTGTCAGGGTTGTGCGAGTGTATGTGTGTGTGTCTAGGAAGAAAGGTGATAGAGGAGGACCAAGTAAGGACAAGCAAAGACATTTTCAGAGATAGGTGATCCACACAGAATAAGCTCATTTACTGACCAAGATCCTGTTAGACCCGGCCCACTACCTATTTCATTCACACATGGGATTTTGTTGTGTACCTTGAAGTCACTTCTGTTACACTATTTCTCTTACATTAACACTCCAACTCCTTTCTGACCTCAGGACCTTTGCACTTGATGCCGCCTTTTCCTGGAGCACCTTCCCCACATATTCCACGCGTGGCTCCTTTTCATAATTCTGCTTTCAGTACAAGTATCACTTCTGTGAGAATTTCGCCAACTACAGTAGCTTAACTTCTCCCTCCCAATTTTTCATCTCATGACCATTTATCTCACTTCATTTTTTGCTCACTTAAAGTATTCACTTAGGAGGGCTACCCACTCGGGACCCCTCCTGCCCCTCAGGAGCTTTCCTATCAACATCTTCCTACTTAAAAAAAAAAGTATTCACTTAGGAGTTGTCTCCCCGACTCCGATGCAGGGATCCTGTCGGTCTTCTTTACAGCGGTAACCTCTTGTGTCTGTAGCAACTATATAAACAGCTGCTGTATTATATAAATCCTTAAGTAGGCAGATTCCCAGAAATCGGGAGGAACCAAGGAGCAACGGGGTGTGTTCCTTGGGGACAACTAGGAATGGGGAAGGCTGTCGGGAGAAGCCCGGGCCTCGGAAGGTCGAGCGGAAGTCCGAGGGGCGCGAGGCGTGGGGGGGCTCACCTGCCGAATGGCCGCCAGCGTGTTCTCGGGAGCGTCGTGGCTGCCGCCGCGGTGGGCGATGGCCGAAATGCGATCCCGGGGCTTGAGCACCTGCAGAGCCCGGCGGGAGGGCACCGGCTCGAAGCTGAAGAAGCGCAGCAGCACGTAAAGGCTGCCGGTGAGAAGGCAGGCATTGAAGGGGCTGCGCGTCACCACCAGGAGAAGCACCAACAGAAAGGAGAAGGGGCCCAGGAGGCCCCCCTGCTCCTCCCACAGCCACATGCCGGCGCCCGCACCGAGACGCACCGGAGTCCCGGACCCGCCGGGTTGGGGTGAGAGGCCAAGGAATCGACCACAGCCGGAACCCTCCGAGCGGACTAGCGCCGCACAACGGCGGCAGCGGACACATCCCGAAAGGAAGCCGCCCGGCCAGCCAATCAGGGGTCGGGATATCCAGCGCTAGGGGCGGAGCCACTTCCATGGCAACGGGGCGGGCCTAGGCGCGGGTCTCAAGTTCCAAAGGGGCCTTGGGTTATCCTGGGTCGCGACTTCTACCCTCGGGAGGGGGAGGGAGGAGACTGGTAAACCTCTGAAAGGCTCCTGTGTTTGCCCTCAAGCAACTGAGGTGCTGGGAACCTTATCCTATTTATGCGATTCGGTTCAAGATGTGCCAAGCACCAGTCCAAGTGCTGTGAACATGACGGACAGGGTCCCTCCTCTTAAGAGATTTACATTGTGGAAGAGGGGAGTAATAGTGTTAGCAATACAGTTAACATTTACAGAGCACTTATGCCCCAGGTACTGTGTTAGTAAACACTGGGTATGCTTGTCTCTTCCTTAGTGGGAGACCACTGTAGGGATGGGTCCTAGCCTGCTAACTCATTAAAACCGCGATTTCTGTTTTTTTCTGGGATAATCAGTGACTTAAAAGCCATTTTTTGCTATTAAAAAAGAAAAAATAGAAAAGTGACTTTCCATTTGGACTCACGAATGTTCAATAGATAATTTAAAGCAGAACAAAGGCAGGCATGGTGACACACGCCTGCAGTCCCAATACTCTGGAGGCTAAGGCAGGGGGATTGATGCAAGTTGCAGGTTAGCTTGGGCTACCTAGTGAATTCAAGACCAGCCTGGAATACATAGCGAAACCTCGGCTTAATAAATAAATAAATAAATAAATAGCAGAACAAAAGGTGACTTTGATTTTATATTTTTTGTTACTGTAAAACTTCAGGTCAAATCCCTTCTCAGCTCTGGATATGGGTATATTAATCATTCAGGGAATGTCAGTCTAAAAGTGGCCAAAACATAGTTGATTAGCCCTAAGTTTACATCTTCTTATCTCCCTTCAAGACTAAGAATCTGAAGAGAGATTTATAGGGACATTTCAGCTACCCGAGGAATCTCCAGCCATTGTTCTAAACCTGTGATCACTTGGATTCCGGAACAAGCTGAGCCCCACATAACTGAAACCACTACAAATAGAGACAAACTTTTCAGCCACGAGGATTCCAGAGCTACTATTATAGACAGCTAAGTTAGAAATCAATATACAGTCAGAGAGGGATTGGGCCTTTGTGGAGCCAGAGAGACTCCATTTTGGAGCTGTCTCCTTTGTTCTCTCAGAGTGACTCCATTTTGGAGCTGTCTCCTTTGTTCTCTCAGAGTGACTCCATTTTGGAGCTGTCTCCTTTGTTCTCTCAAATTTGTGCTTATCCACTCAAAATTCCTAAGTTTATTACCCAGCCATCTGTGTACTCAGGAAGGACATTCC